ACTCCAATTCCTCCTCACCCAACAACACCCTGCCTTTTCACATAAATAAATGCATTTCTTTAATAAAATTAAATGTGTCATTGGAATTATTTTTGCAAAAAAAAAGTACTCAATAGTTATTTATTTATTTTTTGTTCGCCGCATATAGCTTCAGACTTTGTCGCCTCGACAGATAACACTTCTCAGCGTTCTGGGTTGAGTGAATTAAAACAATGATCATTCATCGTCGTTAATGGCAATGGATGTACGTACAACTTCATAAGGATTCATAATCGAATATGGATTTGTAAAGAGCAGCGATTCAAACCAGTGCCCAACAACAAATTCAACGATGGGAAATTATTTTCTGGCAAAATTTTTTATTGTGAAATTTTTATGGAAAAAAACCCTTTGTGGAATTCGGGTAACACAAGGCAACAATATATTTAAAAAAAATCCAAGCCTATTGTAGATGGTCGAAAATAACTTTTAAAAAATCCACGAAAATAACATTTAACAAGTGAAAAAGTTCATATATAGTTCATTATCGAACCTTACGTTCCAGTTTTTTTATCTCGATATCCTCCGCAGGTGAAATGATTGCAACAGAGTCGTAAAACTAAACCCAAAACGCGAAACAATTTCGATAACTATTTTTATATAAACAAGTGAAAAAGCGTTTAGTTCGGCCGGGCCGAACTTTGGATACCCTCCACCAGAGGTATACTAACAGATACTAGCATCGAAAATATCAGGTACATACTAATAGGGGGACCTATACCAAAAATTCAATGTACACCAAATATAAATTTCAGCAATTTTTAATGGATTCCTAAAAAAATCCCAAAAAAACTGGTCCGGTATTGACGACACATGGTAGTGTGCAATTAAGAGGTCTTCAAAATACTGCAATTAAGAGGTCACAGTTATACAAGGCCATCACCAATATACACAGGTTTTATTTCGGCCTTATTGTGAACCGATATAGCTCTATTTCGAAATTAACATTTTTGCATCAGAATACATTTCTTTACGCTAAATATTAAAAACACCGAAATTCGGCAGGTGAAATAATTACAACAGAGTCTTAGAACCAAACCCAAAACGCGGAACAAATCAGATAACTATTTTGATATAAACCAGTAAGGAAAGTAGTAAAGTCGGACGGGGCTGATTTTACGATACCCTTAACCACTGTGGGTATATTCAACAGATGAATCCTAACAGACGTCGAATTTTTGAAGGACCATTAACATGAAAATGGATCCATAAACATGTTATTCTGCAACCTATACCATATTTCTCATTTTGTCAGATACATGGTTGCTTCAAGCTATGTTATATCTACTTCATTACGCTGTCCAATTTTTTTGTAAATCGGCCTACCTTGAGGTCTTTGGTGAACCATTTATATATCGGACGAAAATATATATGGGAGCTATATCTAATCTGGACCGATTTTCAGGAAACTTAACCCACATCATTCTAGACATAATTCAGTACGCTGTCCCAAATTTCGTGCAAATCGAAAGATATATAGGGACTTTGGTACACCATTTACATAAAATCGGACGAAAATATATATGGGTGCTATATCTAAATCTGGACCGATTTTCAGGAAACTTAACACACATCATTTCAGTAGGCTATACCAAATTTCGTGCAAGTCGAAAGGTATATAGGGACTTTGGTACATCATTTACATAAAATCGGACGAAACTATATATGGGAGCTATATCTAAATTTGGACCGATTTGAAGGAAACTTAGCACACGTCATTCTAGACTTAATTCACTATACTCTGTAAAAATTCGTGCCAATATATGATTTTCAGGGACTTTGGTGCACCATTTACCCAAAAAACGGACGAAACTATATATGGGAGCTACATCTAAATCTGTACCGATTTTCACGAAACTTTGCACACATCGTTCTAGACCATATTAGGCTATACCAAATTTCGTGCAAATCGAAAGATATATAGGAACTTTGGTACATCATTTACCTTAAATCGGTAGAAAATATATATGGGAGCTATAACTAAATTTGAACCGATTTTTCCCAATTTCAATAGGGTTCGTCCTTGGGCCAAATGAGTGAGCTGTGCCAAATTTCATCCAAATCGGATCATAAATGCGACCTGAACTTGGTTTACAATTTAACATCAACAGACGGACGGACGGACATGCATAAATCGACTCAGAAAGTGATTCTATGCATATTCCCAAAAGGAACCATGTGTCTATTTCGATTCCTTTTGCCTGTTACAAACATATGCACAAAGACATAATACACTGTACCACAATGTGGTGAAGGGTATAAAAAGGGGGTTATATGGGACGACCCCAAAAAGGGGGCGAATATTAATAATTTTTGGTAGGGAGATTTGTTACAATGTACGACTATAAAATACCAAGTTGCAGCGAATTCGGTTGTAAAACGCGCTCAAGAACCCCAAAATACAGAAAATTAGGGTTACCCTTACATGGGGCCTACCCCAACAAATATACCTATATTCATAATTTTTTGTGGAGATACTTGGAACCCCCAAATACTGAAAATTAGGAGGTACTGTTATATGGGGACTACCAGTAAAAGTGGACTTATAATTATAATTTTTTGCGGATACATTTAGTACCCATTAGGAACCTAATGTACCAAATTGCAGCGGATTCGGTTGAAAAACGCGCTCAAGAACCCCAAAATACCGAAAATTTGGGGGTTACCCTTATATGGGGCCTACCCGAAGAAATGGGTAGGCCCAAAATAATTTTTTGTGGAGATACCTGGAACCTATTAAGAACTCAAAATACTAAATTACAGCCAATTCGGTGGAAAAATACGATCAAACCCCCAAATACTGAAAATTAGGAGGTACTATTATATGGGGGCTACCAGAAAAAGTGAACCTGTATTTATATTTTTTTGTGGAGACATTTAGTACCCAAAAAGAACCCTATGTACCAAATTTCAGCGAATTCGGTTGAAAAACGCGCTCAAGAACCCCAAATTACGGAAAATTGGGAGTACCCTTATATGGGGGCTATCCGAAAAAATTGACCTATGTTTATAATTTTTAATAGGGATATTTGCTACCCAATAAGAACTCAATGTACCAAATTTGGCGTCTTAGAATTTTACCCTGATTAAGAATCTATGTACTTTATAGGGTCGGAAATGAATATTTCCATGAGTTACAAACGGAATGACAAAATTACTATGGTGGAGGGCATAAAAAAGCCACGCCTATTGTAGATTGTCGCAAATAACTTTTAAAAATCCACGGCTATTGCAGATGATCAAAAATAATTTTTAAACCAGTGAGCGGAGCAGTATAGTCGGATGGGGCCGACCATACGATACCCTACACAACTATCACGGAAATCTAACTTTTTGCGGATTTTTATTCCGAGCCTGGCAATATTTCGTGATAGTTGCACCCCTTGCCCGATTAGAGGTCAACAGCACATCTTCCTTACACTGACATATTTTCCGAATATTACTAATATTCAGTACTGTCCTTCAAATTACTTGTCCAGATTCCCTTGACCGTGGGTTGTGTTCTGATGTTTGGTTTATAATTGAAAAAAAAGAAAATAAATTTTCGGTCCACTTCAGCCCACAATTATTATCTGATCATCACCGAAAATTATAGTTTTTGTTCTTGACCACTACTGGAACCTCATGGAACATTTCAAAGCGATCAGCTCTATATTTCCGCCCTCCAGTGTGGTAATGGGTTACTAAATAATATCGCAGTACGTAAGCACCTGTAAATATATAAGTGTAATTGCCAGGTCTGAGTACATACGAGCATATAATTGGTATGAATTTAAAGGTCAACCACTCCTCTTGGATATGCTATCAACTTATCGGGTCTTTGTTCTTCATGAGTAAATATATACAAATTTCACACAAAAGTCAGGGTCCATTTGACCTGCTAAATATTGACCAATCTTTATCAAAACAGGCATGTTTATTCTTTGGCTTGATCCCCATCTCCATGCAACAATTCGCGTGGTTTGGGCCATAATTGCGGCCTCTGGAGCGACCAGAAAATCAGACAAAAATAAAGTTTTTGGTCCTTTTCATCCCCTAAATATTATCCGATCTTTCCCAAAAAGAATAGGGGTCTCCAATAGGCCGAACCCATCCTACAATTTCGTGAAGATTGGTCCATAACTGTGGCCTGTATCGTGTTTACAAAATATAATGGACAGACGGACGGACACGCATGTCTATATCGACTCAGCTAGTCGAGATATGACGATCGGTATACTTAAAGGTGGGTCTAGGACCAATATTTCCCTGACAACATAGTTGTGTAGGGTATAAAAATCCACGCCAGTTGTAGAAGGTCCCAAATAATTTGTAAAAAAATCCACGACTATTGTAGACTGCCCCAATTAATTTTTAAAAAATCCTCGCCTATTGTAGAAGCCTAAAAATATTTTTTTAAAAATCCTCGCCTATTGTAGAAGCCTAAAAATATTATTTTAAAAAATCCACACCTATAGTAGAAGCCTAAAAATACTTATTGAAATCCAAGCCTATTGACGATCCCTAATATTTTTGTTTTAAAAATCGACGCCTTTGAACTCCCTTTAATCCTCTCGCATAGCTTGAAATAGTTCATTTGCCTAGCTGTAATAGGTCAATGTATTCCCTAGTCATTAAATCCGAACAACAACAACGACAACTACGTGAACACTTCTTAACACCATGCTGATGATGATACTGATGAATATGACGATGACTCCAGCAGCACGAGTGCAAAAACCCAAATGCCTGCCCATCGACCCATTCTCCTGATAAGAGGTTCATGAAACAATGAACACGAAAATACGAAGAAGAAGACGAATCGAAAAAGAGATTGAATTGGAAATTGTTATGAAGACGTCTTCTGCGGATTGTATCAATTCCGTGTAAGCTATTCTTAAGAACGGTTGTGAAAATAGATTGAACGTGTTGTTGTTATTATTGAGAATTAATATATAAAAATTCTGTTAGAAAAATAAATCATGAAAATCAAAGTATTATTATTAGTTATGTTGGCCATCTCTGGCTTCAAGGCAGTTTACGGCTGTACCGAAAAAGTCTCGTAAGAAGTTTAATATCTAAATATTGGAAATAACACCTAATTGGAGATCGCATCTACCACCTTTTTTAGAACCACCAAATATCGTGTCACCCTGGTAACAATGCGCAAATATCCCGAACGCTGCGACTCATTTGAGTGTTCCTCAGGTCTAAATCCATTTGTGCTGCGTCCGATTAGAGAAACCTATACGGATATCGAAGAGGTCTGTTGTGAAGGTTATGAACGAGAAAGTGAAACTGGGTAAGTACGTGTAGTGATGCTAATTGTGTGCTGACGCCTAATACTGATATTAAGAAAAAAAAAAAAAAAACAATAACCAAATCGGAATAGGAATTTGCCATTAAGTCTTATCGCAGAATTATGACTCATGTCTGTGATTGGTGTGTGGAATACAAATTATTTTTTTTTCTTGCAATAATATATAATAATTAGGTGGTATTGAGCAAGAAGTTAGAAAGATTCTATGGGACCTACCCCGAAACTTACGCCAAATTTAGTAATTTTTGGTAGGTAGGTTTCCTACCCAAAGATAACCGAAAATATCAAATGAAAGCCAATTTTCTATAGAGCCTTCCTGTTCCTGTGTCCATTTACACCTTCGACTTCTTTGAGGCAGCGTTCACTACTGCCTTTCCCCGTTTTATACCCTTCACCACACTGTGTTACAAGGTATTATGTCTTTGTGCATATGTTTGTAACAGGCAAAAGGAAACGAGATAGACACATGGTTCCTTTTGAGAATATGCATAGAATCACTTTCTGAATCGATTTATGCATATCTGTCCGTCCGTCTGTAGATGTTAAATTGTAAACAAAGTACAGGTCGCATTTATGATCCGATTTGGATGAAGTTTGGCACAGTTCACTTATTTGGTCCAAGGACGAACCCTATTGAAATTGGGAAAAATCGGTTCAAATTTAGATATAGCTCCCATATATAGGTTCGTCCGATTTAAGGTAAATGGTGCACCAAAGTCCCTATATATCATTCGATTTGCACGAAATGTGGCATAGAGTACTAAATTAGGTGCAGAATGATGCGTGCCAAGTTTCGAGAAAATCGGTTCAGATATAGATATAGCTCCCATATATATCTTCGTCCGATTTTAGGTAAATGGGGCACCAAAGTCCCTATATATCATTCGACTTGTACGAAATTTGGCATAGAGTACTGAATTAGGTGCAGAATGATCTGTGCAAAGTTTCGAGAAAATCGGTTCAGATTTAGATATAGCTTCCATATATAGTTTCGCCCGATTTTAGGTAATTGGTCCACCAAAGAACCTATATATCTTTCGATTTGCACGAAATCTGGCATAGTGTACTGAATTGATATTAGAATAATGTGTGCCAAGTTTCGAGAAAATCTGCTCCCATATATATTTTCGTCCGATTTTATGTAAATGGTGCACCAAAGTCCCTATATATCATTCGATTTGCACGAAATTTGGCATAGCGTACTGAATTAGGTCTAGAATGATGTGTGCCAAGTTTCGTGAAAATCGGTTCAGATTTAGATATAGCTCCCATATAAAGTTTTGTCCGATTTTAAGTAAATGGTGCACCAAAGTCCCTATATATCATTCGATTTGCACGAAATTTGGCATAGAGTACTGAATTAGGTGCAGAATGATGTGTGCCAAGTTTCGAGAAAATTGGTTCAGATTTAGATATAGCTCCCATATATAGTTTCGTCCGATTTAAAGTAAATGGTGCACCAAAGTCCCTATATATCATTCGATTTGCACGAAATTTGGCATAGAGTACTGAAATAGGTCTAGAATGATGTGTGCTGAGTTTCGTGGAAATCGGTTCGAATTTAGATATAGCTCCCATATATATTTTGGTCCGATTTTAGGTAAATGGTGCACCAAAGTCCCTATTTATCCTTCTATTTGCATGAAATTTAGCATAGAGTACTGAATTAGGTGCAGAACGATGTGTGCAAAGTTTGGAAAAAATGGGTTCAGATTTAGATATAGCTCCCATATATAATTTCGTCCGATTAAAGGTAAATGGCATCGGTTCAGATTTAGATATAGCTCTTATATATAATTTTGTCAGATTTTATGTAAATAGTGCACCAAAGGCCCTATATATCTTTCGATTTGCACGAAATTTTGCATAGTGCACTGAAATGGGTCTAGAATGGCATGTGTCAAGTTTCGAGAAAATCGGTTGCAGAATGGCATGTGTTGGGTTTGTTGTTAGTCAGTTTACTTATAGATAAAGGTCGCATATTTATCTTCGTTCAATTTCATGTCAATGTTCCTCCAAAAAGGCAATATCTGTTAGCATTCATCTGTTGAATATACCCAAAGTGGTGAAGGGTATCATATAGTCGGCCCCGCCCGATTTTACTACTTTCCTTACCCAAACGTCCCTCTTCGAATTCCCATTACTCCTCTCGAAAGGAACAATTGGACTTTCTCCATCTTTGTTGCTTGCAAATATATTCCATCCAAAGTGGGGCCTTGTCGGGGGCACTTAAATGTCAATACAATGTAAATTATCATGGCCTCTGGATTTTCGTTCATCGCACCGCTTCGATAACATCTTTTGCCTTATCGATTACGTCAAAGAACGGTCTCATATCAAAATATACGGTCAGGTTCCATGTCGAAGTTACTACATCCACTGATCTCATATGATCTAGATACACCGCTGTGAAATTGTTTATTCCTCTGATTATGCCACAGGCACGTACCGATAATTGATCATAGGTACGGGCACTCTCTCTGGCTCCTGTATGGTCTCCTAACACTCCAAAACATATTTTGCTAATTGGTCTTTTCACAGTGCCGTCACAAGCCATTTTTTCCAAGAGTCTCCCCAACGGCCAACGAGCTGGATGTGTCTCTTCGTTCTATAAAATTACGATTTTTGTAAATTGTTCATCAGATTTTTCCATTTGTATCTTTGCTGCTAGGTAGCAAGGTAATGATTGGTCCAGCACTTTCAAATTTCTTTTTCTGAACCAGATTCCATTTGTCCCAGCACCCAATTCTAAACTGATAGTCGTCGGTTGAGGGTCCATCCAATATTGGACGGATCATTACAAAAAAGTATCCCGGAGTATGAACATCTAGATTTTCTTTTGCACAATTGGACCTCTCTCTCTCTCTAGAACACAAATGTCTCTCCTTACATGACTATGGAATTTTTCTTGTACCTCCCTCTCTCTAGAACATAGAGGTCTCTTCTTACATGCCTGGGTGCGGAAATCATTTAGATCAGGCATGCTTACCCATATACGCTACCGTAACTGTGGCTCGATGGGTAAACACATTTTCTCTTTCTTTCTCTTTGCGTCAGTCGTTTTTAATTGTGAATTCTCAGTTACGCTCGCACAAACTTGCTCTCAATTTAATTTTGCCCAACACTGATTTAGATGAGCTGATGGTATTGATGATTCCGGCGATAGCATCTAAAAAGGTGTAACATCGACCACATTCTGTTGTGTCGATTTATGGATGAAGGTCTTGACTCGACTTATAAATGATCCACTGGAATCCACTGAATGGTTGATTTCAAGGTTGAATTCTTTCACTGTGGGTCTGAAGCTCACTCACAAGTACCCTTGCCTCTTTGGTAAGTTTGGGCTTACTTCGGAATATTCTAGCAAGTATATAGGTTCCTTGTGCAGTATAAATGATGCCTCGGAATTTCTTTTCAGATACCCGAAGATCTGAGGGATTCAATTTCAGTCGTCTATGTGGAGAACAATGTAGATATAGATTTGGCGGCAGGTATTTTCATATCTCTCAGATGGAATAACCCTGCCAAATCAGCGACCCGAAGCCAATACGCCGCCAATCAACCGCGCTCATTAATTTGAGAAAGATAAGAGGCTAAACAGCGCGGAGATATGGCCACTTTCAAGGTCTCCGACTTCTGTTTATAAAATCCACATACGATTAGGGATTCCCGGTTTCACTCAAACGGTCTTAGTTTGCGAATTCCGCATACGATTGGCGAGCAGTTTTGCGTGATTGACAGTAGCTGTTTTTTTTTGGGGCTGCTGCAATTGACAATCGGTTGACATCAGATGGTACATCGTGGATATCCGGGCGGAAGTGTCTGTCTGCATCACAATGTGATGATTTGAATGACTAGGTATATGGCAGACCAGGACGAACTGTTTAGCAATCAACACGTTATGTTGCCGTACCGACAGTATTCTCTTCTGCTCAAGAAGTTATCCACACTCGAAATCAAAACACATCTGGTAGCAATCCTTAAGGCACTATTTTGCGCAACTTGAAGATTAGGTCAGAACTGGGGCAGCATAGCTGAAGACTGAGCGACTCATGGCCTTGTATGTCGCTATAATGGTTTCTTTTTCTTTTCCCCAGAGGTGCTTGTCAGCGCTTTCAGGACCTTGCATTTTGTTTGGATTTCTCCTTTAATGTATGCTGCGGGCTTGGTAAAATTCAATAAGTTGTCAAATACAACAGCCAGAATCTTGCGGTACTGGACAGTCGGAATTCTTCGGTCATCGACTTTAATGTCTAGTTTGGTTCTCAACTTACGCGTTCAGGAGGAGAAAAGGGTGGTCGTAAATTTAATATCTCACTAATATCATCTATGTCTACTACCGAAGATACTATGGTGCAATCATCTGCGGGAAGCTTCGCAAGGTAAATGGTAAAATAGAGTTGTGTAAGGACACCTCATTGCGGTACGCCTATTTAGATTTTGCGGAATCTCGATTTTCTGCCTCGGAATTCTACATAATCCTGTCTACCACTGAGATGTTTACTAAGCCAGCGTTGAGTAATATTCGAATCCATTATGTCACCCATCAGAATCGAGTATTTAATCGTGTCATTGCTTTGGAAAAGTCCAACAGTCCGCGCTGTCGGGCGATTCTAATTGAGGCCATTCGCAATATATTTCATTATATCGTTGATTCCCGTCGTTGTGCTATCAGCTTTCCCGTCTAGTGTTCAGTCATGGAAGGTAACAATAGCGCTTCCAAAACCTTGGCTATTGGTGGAAGTCGGGAGATGGGACTGATTGGGGATATGATTCTCCTGAATCAGCCTGTTTTTTTGATATTGGAGGTGGGATAACTGGATCAACTTTCCAAATTTCTGGTAATACCAACAGGTTTACCGAGAGATTTAGAAGTTGAACGTGGTATCTCAACGCTATGGAACCGTGGACTTTTAATGGTTTTGCCTTGGCTTCAAAATCGGTTTGTGTGAAGGAGCATGGATTTGGCTCGCGTTGGAGTTGGTAGACAAAGTTTGTAATGGTTGATCCACTTTCCCGACGGTGATGGTTTAGCAGAGTATTGATATCCCCGTCAAGGATACAATCCTTGACTGTTGTGCCTGAAGGGGTCGAGTTGGTCGGCCAGGCCGACTGCAGCAGTGGAACAACCGGGTAAACACTGTGGAATTCTTCTAGCGTTGCCCAACTTCTCAAATGTGTTCACGATTGGAATGTTATCGGAGGCTAAGGCCACATGAGTTTGCCAAGGTGTTAGGGCTATGTGCGACGAGCTGATGGTCGTTATGTCTGGGGAGCTGATAGAGTTGACCGCAATTCTGGTTGGAAATTTTTCTTTGGTGGCTACAAAGTCCGAGTTTTCTATGTAATCGGCGCCCAAGTTGGACTGAGACCCACCCTTAAGGAGGTGCTGAAGGGATTGTAACTTGGCCCTATGGTGTTTACGGACGGGATGTAGTTTAGTTTACTCACCTCTTCCATCATCGTGTCAGACTCTTTGCTCCTCCAATATTCTATGATGTTTGCCTTCGTTTCTCGACACTGAATTTGGGCCTGTTTTAGGAAGTCAGGTCTAGATTATTCTTGAAGTCAAGATAAATTTTTTTTTTGACTGCGTGCTTGTAGCGATTCCTTCGATAACATATCCCAAGGCATCCATATTTTTAGGACAAGATGGGTCATGATTGCAGGATGTCTTACGTACGTGACTCGCGGACAAATCAACAAGACCAGACGGTTCTGATTTTGGTATTAATTTACCGTCTGGTACCATTTTACCATGTCATAATCCCCTAAATAAAAGTTCCCATCGATTTTAGGGCTTATGTATGTTAATTTGATGCTAGAGGTTCGGACCAGCCGAACTTATTGACGTTTTACTTATATTAAAATAAAATATTTTTCTCCTCTCTCATTTCAGAACCTGCCTGCCAAAATGTGCCGACTGCAAAGGAGGTCGCTGCATACGACCCGACATATGCCTCTGCCTTACGGGTTATAGTAATGCGGCGAATAGGACAATATGCGAACCGATTTGCAGCGAACCCTGCCTTAATGGCAAATGTATCGAACCGGATGTGTGCGAATGTAATGAGGGTTATAAATTCGTGACGGGCAGTACAAACGAATGTGAATCCCAGTGTGACAAAGAGGTGAATTGTGAAAATGGCCATTGCGATGTGAGCGGAAAATGCCACTGTAACGAAGGCTATCGTATGGATGAAAAACAACAACGTTGTGTACCGGTGTGTGAAGAGCCGTGTGAAAACGCGATGTGTACCGCACCGAATGAATGTACCTGCTGGGCGGGATATTCGATGCGTTTGGGATCGATTAGCCAATGTGATCCGGTGTGTTCGAGTGGTTGTGCCGATGGAGTGTGCAAAGCACCCGATGTCTGTGAGTGTAAGGAGGGTTATATGAATTTCGGCAGCATCGAATCGCAGGGTTGTATACCAGTGTGTAAGGAGAAATGTGTTAATGCCTTTTGTACGGCACCGAATCAATGTACCTGCTTCGAGGGTCATGCCTATCGCAATCGATCACGTAGCATTTGTGAACCCACCTGCCCGAAAGATTGCGAGAATGGTTTCTGTAGTGAACCGGGAAAATGTGAGTGCCACGAGGGTTATGAAAAAACCGAACCTCATCGTTGTTCGCCGGTGTGTAAGGAGGAATGTGTAAATGGCTACTGTTCGGCGCCGGACACGTGTAAATGTCACGATGGTTATGTTTATGCGGATAGCAAGGAGAAGGTGTGCGAACCCTTCTGTAATAGGGGCTGTCGTAATGGCAATTGTACGGCGCCGAATGTTTGCACCTGTAACTCGGGTTATCAACCTCTCTTATTTTATCATTGCATACCCATTTGTCGCCAACCTTGTATCCATGGCACCTGTACCGCTCCCGATACTTGTCGCTGTTTCATGGGCCACAAACCGAACCCCAACAATCCCAATCAATGTGATCCGATATGTAACTTTGATTGTGAACATGGTAAATGTATTGCACCCGGTACGTGTAGCTGTGATCCGGGTTATGAAAAGAAATGGGTAACGGGTAAATGTGAACCGCATTGTCCGCAGAAATGTGTGAACAGTATTTGTTCGGCTGGTGGGGTTTGTCGCTGTTATGCTGGGCATAAATTACGTGAGGGATCGAAATCCATATGCGACCCGGTCTGCTACCCCACATGTATCAACAGCAATTGTGTCGAACCGAATACCTGTGAATGTTGGGAGGGTTATGAGGAGACGAAACACTCCAATCTTTGTGTTGCCCATTGCCGGCCCTATTGTGAGAATGGTATGTGTGTGGCGCCCAACAAATGCCAATGCAATGAGGGCTATAGGGTGGTGAATGCCTCAACCCCTAACAGTTGCCAAGCCATATGCGAGGAGACTTGCATCAATGCTGAATGTCAGAAACCGAATAAATGTGTCTGCCTGGAGGGTTATCGTTTCTTGCCGAACAGCACGGTAGAATGTGAACCGGTTTGTGAACAGTCCTGTGAGAATGGCTTTTGTGTGGCGCCCAACACTTGCAATTGCAAGGCAGGATTTGTATCGCGTATCAATCCCGATACAGGGTATAACGAATGTGTCGGATTCTGTAATGAATGGAATTGTCGTGGTGGCACGTGTTCGTCATCGACAACTTGTGAGTGTCCTGCGGGTATGGTGTATGAAGTGCTGAGGGGAATGTGCGTGGCGGAGAGTGTGGAAAAGGAAAGGCTGTTTAATGGGTAAGTCAAACTTAAAAAAAATATATATTTTAAAAATCCAGGCCTATTGAAGATGCTTAAAAATAATTTTAAAAAAAACCTCTCCCATTGGAGATTCCTAAGAAATAATTTTTAAAAAAAATCTTCGAAATCCCTAAAGATCTGGAGATCCCTAAAAATAATTTTTAGAAAATCCACGGCTATAGGAGATGCTTAAAAATAACTTTTAAACCAGTAAGGAAAGCAGTAAAGTCGGACTGGGCCGACTATATGATACAATATAAAACCGTCCCAACTTTGGGTATGTTCTACATATGTACATATGGTTATATTCTACATAAGGAGGGAGGAAGATTCACATGAAATTGAACGAACTAAATATGCGATTTTTATCTATAAGTATCGTAAACCGACTCACATCAATCCCAACCAAACTTCATGCAATTTGAAGGAAATATAGAGGCTTTGGTGCATTATTTACCTTAAATCCGATGAAAATATATATGGGAGCTATATTTACCTGTACCACAGTGTGGGAAGTATACCCATAAAATCGACTATAAGTTCCACAAACCAATTCGGATGATAGTAACTGAAATTTTTAATATTTCGTTCCTTCTTAATCACTCTGCCAAATCCGCCAATATTTGCTGTAGTCACAATCGGTCAGACCAATATTTTTATCAAAAATTTAATATTCAAAACTCTGAAAAAATATTCTTTAAAAAAAATAAAAAATCCGATTTTCCCGAAACTTAGCACACATTATTCTACACTAAATTCAGTACGCCATGACAAATGTTGTGCAATTCGAAGAATATATAGGGACTTTGGCGCACTATATACCTAAAATCGGAAGAATATATATGGGAGCTATATCTAAATCTGAACCGATTTCTACGAAATTTAACGCACATCGTTCTCGACTTAATTTAGTAGGCCATACCAAATTTCGTGCAAATCGAAACATATATAGGGACTTTGGCGCACTATTTACCTAAAATTGGACCAAAATATATATGGGAGCTATATCTAAATCTGAACCGATTTTCACCAAACTTGGCACACATCTTTCTAGACTTAATTCAGTAGGCCATACGAAATTTCGTGCAAATCAAAACGTATATGGGGACTTTGGTGCACTATTTACCTAAAATCGGGCGAAACTATATATGGGAGCTATATCTAAATATGAACCGATTTTTACGAAACTTAGAACACATCATTCTAGACTTAATTCAGTACGCTTTGACAAATTTCGTGCAAAACGGAAGATATATAGGGACTTTTGTACACAATTTACTTTAAATCGGACGAAAATATATATGGGAGCTATATCTAAATCTGAACCGATTTACACGAAACTTAGCACACATCATTCTAGACTTAATTTAGTACGCAATGCCCAATTCAGTGCAAATCGAAGGATGTATAGGGACTTGGGTACATTATTTAACTTAAATCGGACGAAAATATATATGGGAGCTATATCTAAATCTGAACCGATTTTCACGAAATTTAGCATACACCTTTCTTGACTTAATTCAGTATGTTATGCCAAATTTCGTGCAAATCGAAAGATATATAGGGACTTTGGTGCACCATTTACCTAAAATCGGACGAAAATATATATGGGAGCTATATCTAAATTTGAACCGATTTTCAGGAAACTTGGCACACATATTTCTAGACTTAATTCAGTACGTTATGGCGAATTTCGTGCATATCGAAGGATATATAGGGACTTGGGTACATCATTTTCCTAAAATCGGACGAATATATATATATATATATATATGGGAACTGTATGTAAATCTGAACCGATTTTCACGAAATTTAGCACACATCATTCTATATGTAAATTAGTGGGCTACACCAAATTTCGTGCAAATCGAATGATTTTCAGAGTCTTTGGTGCGTCATCTACCTAAAATCGGGCGAAACTATATATGGGAGCTATATCTTAATCTGAACCGATTTTTTCCAATTTCAATAGGGTTCGCCCTTGGGGCATATAAAACTGACAAACTGACATGCATATATCGACTTATCGAAAATAATGTTTAACCATGTTTATTCCGAGCCTGGGCAATATTCCGTGATATTTGCACCCTCTTGCCCAATCAGAGGGCGAATATTACTTATATTCAGTACAGCCCTTCAAATTACTGGTCCAGACTCCCTTCTCTGTGAGTTGTGTTGTGATCATCCCCTTATAATTATGGCCTATTGATCGACTCGGAAAAAATAAATAAGTTTTCGGCCCACTTCATCCCAAAATTGTTATATAATCATCACCGAAAATTATAGGCGTTGTTCTTGACCACAACTGGGATCTCATGGAAAATTTCAAATCGATCAGCGTTATATTTCCGAACTCTAGTGTGGTAATGGGTTACTAAACACCTTTGAATATATAAGTGTAACTTCCACATTTGAGTACATACGACCATATAATTGGTATCAATTATATGGTCAACCACTCCTCTTCGACATACTATCAACTTCTTGGGTCTATGTCCTCCAGAGGCAAATATATACGCCATAAAATACAAATTTTGTAATTTTTCACACAAAAGTCAGGGTTCATTTGACCCACTAAATATTGACCAATCTTTATCAAAACAGGCATGCTCATTCTTTGACCAGATTTGACTCCTAAATATTAACTGAACAATAGGGGTCTTCATTGGCCAGTACCCAACACAACAACATTTCGTGAAGATTGATCTATAACTGTGGCCTGTATCGTGTTTACAAATTATAATGGACAGACGGACGGACACACATGTCTAGATCGACTCAGCTAGTCGAGATATGACGATCGATATACTTACAGGTGGGTCTAGGACCAATATTTCGCGGCGTTATAAACTCTTGGGGCAGCGCAAAGCAATAATACCCTGACAACATAGTTGTGTAGGGTATCAAAATCCACGCCTATTGTAGATGGTCGAAAATATTTTTTAAAAAATCCCCTCCTAATTTATTGGATTTATAAATATTCTCTTTTCTCTAGCGGTGTTCCTGTTTCTCGCTGGACCATAGCCACCGTGGCCATAATTCTCTTTGCCGTTTGTGTCCTGGCCCTTATTATGATATTCCGTGAAATAGCTCATCGCCGAGTCCATGATAAGCAGCAGGTGCGTTTAATTGAAAATCCCTCGTTTGGGGTACTCTTGCCAAATGATCGCCTAGAGGATGATGAGGAGGAGCATACAGATTCGACGCAAGAAATTAGTACTTAGGGAAAGAGGTTGTTAGAGGAAGGAGTTGTCGTGAGAGATATAAGACTCAAAATTGTTTGAAATTAAATTCAATCTCTTTTTAGATGTTTTTTCTTGTTTTCATTTTTATTATATATTTTTTTTCAAAAATTAAATATTTATTGCTATAATATATGAGTATATCACTTGCTATATACTATTTTTAATTTTTTTTTGTTTTTGTCTTAAATTTAAAAATTTACAAACAATACATATATACATTGACATATATATTACATACATATATAAATAACATAGAACATATATATTATCACACTTAAATTTAAAATAATCGTTATATACTTTAAGTACATTTGTTTGAGTTTTTGTTTTTTTTTTGCATTGTGATTTTTAAATAACTTTTTTTAATTTAATTTTTTAAAATTTAAATAATTTATAAATTTAATTTTATAAATTTATAATTTTTAATAAACGTATTTTTGATTTTTTTATATGTAATGATTTTTTTATTTTTAATAAATATTAAATAAAATGCTTGGCATTAAATCATTTTTTTAATACTATGTGATTTTTTTCTATTTATAAAAATTGCATTTGTTGTAATAATTAAATTAAAAATAAAATATTTCATAACTAAATATATTATACAATTAAATTGACTATATTACTTAGGGGAAGGGGGTGAGAGAAGCGCCAAAAAAGGGGCAAATCCAAAGCAGGTTTTCAAAAGACAGAAAATATATAAATTAAAAAAAAAATTCACCCTTATTGAAGATCTCTAAAAATATTTTTTTTTATATTTCATTTTTATTCAGTGAGCGGAGCAGTATAGTCGGACGGGGCCGACCCTACACAACTTCCACGAAAATCTAAGTTTACAGATTTCCTTCACCGTGGGTTGTGTTGTAATGTTCGGCTTTCAATTTTTTCCTATAGACCGACTCGAAAAAAAACCAGTAAGAAAAGTAGTAAAGTCGGACTGGGCCGACTATATGATACCCTTCACCACTTTGGGTATATTCTACATATGTATCCTAACATATGATATATCAACCGATTTCAGGGAAACTTGCCAGAGATTAATTTATATTACATCAGTACGTTGTGTCAATCGGCCTAGCTATGGATATTTTCACGAAGCATAGCAACATCATTCTAGACTTAATTCAGTACCCTATACAAAAATTCGTGCAAATCGAAAGATATATAGGACTTTGGTGCACCAATTACATAAAATCGGACGAAAATATATATGGGAGCTATATCTAAATCTGAACCGATTGTAACGAAACTTTGCACACATCATTCTAGTATCAATTCAGTACGCCATGTCAAATTTCGTGCAAATGGAAAGATATGTATTGACTTTGGTGCACCATTTACATTAAATCGGACGAAAATATATATGGGAGCTATATCTAAATCTGAACCGATTTTCAGGAAACTTAGCACACATCATTCCACACTTAATTCAGTACGCTATGCCAAATTTCGTGCAAATCAAAATATATATAGGTACTTTGGTGCACCATTTACCTTAAATCGGACGAAAATATATATGGGAGCTATATTTAAATCTGAACCGATTTTCAAGAAATTTTACAGACATCGTTCTAGACTTAATTCAGTACGCTATGCCAAATTTCGTGCATATCGAAATATATATAGGTACTTTGGTGCACCATTTACCTTAAATCGGACGAAAATATATATGGGAGCTATATCTAAATCTGAACCGATTTTCACGAAACTTGGCACACATCATTCTAGACTTAATTCAGTAGGTCATACCAAATTTCGTGCAGATCGAAACATATATAGGTACTTTGGTGCACCATTTACCTTAAATCGGACGAAAATATATATGGGAGCTATATCTAAATCTGAACCGATTTTCAAGAAATTTTACACACATCGTTCAAGACTTAATTCAGTACGCTATGCCAAATTTCGTGCAGATCGAAATATATATAGGTACTTTGGTTCACCATTTACCTAAAATCGGACTAAAATATATATGGGAGCTATATCTAACTCTGAACCGATTTTCTCGAAACTTAACACACATCATTCTAGACCTAATTCATTTCGCTATACCCAATTTCGTGCAAATCGAACGATATATAGGGACATTGGTACACCATTTACATTAAATCTGACGAAAATATATATGGGAGCTATATCTAAATCTGAACCGATTTTCAAGAAATTTTACACACATCTTTCTAGACTTCATTCAGTGTGCTATGCTAAATTTCGTGCAGATCGAAACATATATAGGCAATTTGGTGCACCATTTACCTTAAATCGGACGAAAATATATATGGGAGCTATATTTAAATCTGAACCGATTTTCAAGAAATTTTACAGACATCGTTCTAGACTTAATTCAGTACGCTATGCCAAATTTCGTGCATATCGAAATATATATAGGTACTTTGGTGCACCATTTACCTTAAATCGGACGAAAATATATATGGGAGCTATATTTAAATCTGAACCGATTTTCAAGAAATTTTACAGACATCGTTCTAGACTTAATTCAGTACGCTATGCCAAATTTCGTGCATATCGAAATATATATAGGGACTTTGGTGCACCATTTACATTAAATCTGACGAAAATATATATGGGAGCTATATCTAAATCTGAACCGATTTTCAAGAAATTTTACACACATCTTTCTAGACTTCATTCAGTGTGCTATGCTAAATTTCGTGCAGATCGAAACATATATAGGCAATTTGGTGCACCATTTACCTTAAATCGGACGAAAATATATATGGGAGCTATATCTAAATCTGGACCGATTTCCAGGAAACTTAACACACAGCATTCTAGACCTAATTCATTACGCTATGCCAAATTTCGTGCAAATCGAAAGATATTTAGGGACTTTGGCGCACTATTGACCTTAAATCGGACGAAAATATATATGGGAGCTATATCTAAATTTGAACCGATTTCCAGGAAACTTAACGCACAACATTCTAGACCCAATTCATTACACTATGCCAAATTTCGTGCAAATCGAAAGGTATATAGGGACCGTTTATCTTAAATCGGACGAAAATATATATGGGAGCTATATCTAAATCTGAACCGATTTTTCCCAATGTCAATAGGGTTCGTCCTTGGGCCAAATAAGTGACCTATGCCAAATTCCAATTCGGATCATAAATGCGACCTGTACGTTGTTTACAATTTAACACAGACAGACAGACGGACGGACATGCATTAATCGACTTAAAAAGTGTTATTGATCCTCTTAGAAAACTTCAAAGCGATCCGCGCTATATTTTCGCCCTCAAATGTTATTGATCCTCTTAGAAAACTTCAAAGCGATCCGCGCTATATTTTCGCCCTCAAATGTGGTAATGGGTTACTAAATAATATATGAATACGTAAGCACCTGCAAATATTTACGTGTAACTCCCACATCTGAGTACATATGACAATATAATTGGTATCAATTTAAAGGCCAACGACTCCTCTTGGATATACTATCAACTTCTGGGGTCTATGTCCTTCAGGGGTAAATATATACGCCTCAGAATAAAAATGTTGTAATTTTTTACACAAAAGACGGGGTCCATTGTTGACCGATCTTTATCAAAACCGGCATGCTTATTCTTTGGTCCGATCCCTTCTCCATGTAAAATTTCACGATGTTCGGACGCTAACTGCGGCCTCTGGAGAGACCAGAAAAACCGACAAAGATTGGTCCATAACTGTGGCCTGTATCGTGTTTACAAATTATAATGGACGGACAGACACACATGTCTAGCTCGACTCAGCTAGTCGAGATATGACGATCGGTAAGCTTAAAGGTAGGTCTAGGACCAATATTTCGCGGCGTTACAAACTTTTGGGGCTGCACAAAGCTATAATACCCTGACAACATAGTTGTGTGGGGTATAAAAATCCACGCCTTGTGAGGATGCTTTAAAAAATATTTTTTTTAAATATTTCATATTTTTTCAAAAATTGAAAAATTGGAAAAATACATATTTTTTTAAATCTGCACCTCTCCCTTTAGAAGCCCTAATGTTTCTTCTTTTCCGATTTTTTTCTCAATTACCTCACCCCCTCCCCCCTTAATACTTAAAGCTATCTGAAGTTTTTTTTTGTTTCTTAGAGAAAAGCTTCTTGATTACCGATTGATCTAAAAAATATTGTCCTCTTTTGCTGTGGCGGTTTCGGGTACTTCTCCTTTGGTCATGGTGGCTTATCTTGGGGTTCAGGTGGTTCGCCATGAGGTGGTTGTGCCACTGGTGGCGGTGATAGCGGCGTGGTTACTGTCTGAGGTGATTGTGGCGGATCTCTCCGACTATGACTACATGAGTGTGAGGTATTTACTGGAGAATTTTGCGAAGCAATAACTATGGCCTTTACCGTTAAAGGCTGTTGCGATTTTTGCAGGGCAGCATAAAGCCCAGTGAATTCTGGACTAAGTCCCGAATCACCATCTTCCATGACCACCGAACTATCGGCCGCCGACGGTATGGTGGGTAGAAAACGTACCCCCAACCGGGGTGGTGAGGAGTCCTCCTCCTCTTGTACAGCCTCCTGGCGTACCAAACGGGGTTTGGGTAGGGTCGAAGAAAACTGTGGGTGCTGATGCTGTTTGTTCGGATGGGCTAGAAAGATAGGAGGGGTTATTAATTACCAAAATATTGAATATTAATGTTTTATACTTATTATGGATGGTAGCGGAGTGGTACTCCCCGCACTGGACCTGGACAACCTAAATGTCGAAGTTGAGGCCGTTGTGGCGGAGGCCGAGGAATCATTCCTCGATGAAGACAAATTCGAGTCCTGTGATGTCTTCCTTGTTATCAACCACGTCGAATGCCTTCTTCGATTGGGATCCATCATTTTCATGGGTATCGAACAAGTATGACCATGCGCATGGCCCGCCAAATGCTGCCCTGTTGCCGTACCATTACGCCAACTTGACGACCGTGAAGAGCAAAAATTCTCACTCGATATTGAACTGGCTCTCAGCTGCTTCTTCTGCTTCATTTCAGAGAATGGATATTGGTAGGGATCGTTTTTATTACCTCTACTGACACGACCCCGCCGCTTATCCAGCCGCTGAGGCCTATTACGTTCACAGCAGGTGACACAACAGGAACACCATGCCCATAATCGCTGCCAACTGCGTGACCATATGGAACCTTCCTTTTCTTGGATACGATGCCAAATGGGCATCTCGCCGGGCATCATGCGCAGACATCGGCATCCCGGTGGATGTACTGCCGGCAGTAGGGGTGGTAACTCTTTGGGTAATCTCTCTCCCGTTGTCATACCCCTACCTCGGGCCATGGCCCCAGCACTTCTCGTCACCCTTGTCTCTTCGAAGTGCTTACACAGATTTACACAATCCTTTTTAAACTGCTTCGTCATAATCGCATAGAGAAAGGGGTTACAGCACGAATTCAGTGGCAGTATGAAGACCGTGAAAATCTTTGCCTGTTCCAGGGATATCAACTGCAGACCAAAAATCGCCGTTATCGAAAAGAAAGCAATCGGAGACCAACATAAAAAATCCGTAAAAACCAACAAAGCCATTCTCTTGGCAATTCTTGAATCATTCGTATTCCAGGCCTGTGAACCCCGTATCGCCCAATACATTTTCAAATAACAGCCCATCAGGGTGAGAAATGCACACCCATTAATAAACATCAAAGCTATGACATAACTCAAACTGGCAATGCCAGTTGTTGTCTCGAACGGTAGGCACACGGCGAATTTCCGATAATCCGATACACCAACCAATGGCAGCACGGCCATGACTAGGGCAAATGTCCATCCCACTGCCATAATATAGGCAGCCTGTTTCAGCGATAGCCGTTTATTCAAATGTATGGCATGGGTTATGGCATAATTCCGCTCCAAGGTAATCACCGCCAGGGTATAGACCGACAATTCCGATGACAGCACCGCCAAGAAGCCACCAATTTGACACATTACCGACATTTGCCAGGGTATGGCAAACATACGAAACTCTCCCAGTGTGGAGGCATCCACAATGGCCAGGATACCCAAATACACACCCATAAAGAAATCCGCCGCAGCCAGGTTACAAACCAAAAACCTGGGCACATCCATTTTGGAGCGAGAAAAAATCAACACAAATACCACAGTACCATTGCCGAGCAGGGCCAAGAGGAATACAACCCACACACCACAGCGCAGCGTCCACCAATCAAATAAATCGGCACAGGGTAAAAAGGGTCCAGGCATAGGCAGGCATTGTATGCTACCCGGAGTATGTTCCGATCCAATTGTGGCAAAGAGGCCACCACCTCCAAACGAATTGGCAAAGGTACTGGCCGTCCCCGTGGCCGATTGCATGTTGCCCGACCCCGTGCCAGTACCTGTTCCCGTGCCATCCTCTTCGAAATATTCTTCCATATAGGTGGGTATATTGCCGGGATAGGTGAAATCTTGGCCAAAATTATCCCATATATCATGCATTTCGGTGCCGAATTTTTTGCTCAAATTATCTGGAAAGGGAGAAGAATAAGAAATTAAAAAACCTATGCCTGGGCCTTATGGTAGGTCCTTAAAAATAATTTTTAAAAAATCCACGCCTTATGGTAGGTCCTTAAAAATAATTTTTAAAAAATCCACGCCTTATGGTAGGTCCTTAAAAATAATTTTTAAAAAATCCACGCCTTATGGTAGGTCCTTAAAAATAATTTTTAAAAAATCCACGCCTTATGGTAGGTCCTTAAAAATAATTTTTAAAAAATCCACGCCTTATGGTAGGTCCTTAAAAATAATTTTTAAAAAATCCACGCCTTATGGTAGGTCCTTAAAAATAATTTTTAAAAAATCCACGCCTTATGGTAGGTCCTTAAAAATAATTTTTAAAAAATCCACGCCTTATGGTAGGTCCTTAAAAATAATTTTTAAAAAATCCACGCCTTATGGTAGGTCCTTAAAAATAATTTTTAAAAAATCCACGCCTTATGGTAGGTCCTTAAAAATAATTTTTAAAAAATCCACGCCTTATGGTAGGTCCTTAAAAATAATTTTTAAAAAATCCACGCCTTATGGTAGGTCCTTAAAAATAATTTTTAAAAAATCCACGCCTTATGGTAGGTCCTTAAAAATAATTTTTAAAAAATCCACGCCTTATGGTATGTTGGAAAACACTTTGTTTGAAAATACTTTGTTTTAATTTATTTCAACAAACATATTCTTCTTTGAAAAGCTTTGTGATTTTCTAGTTTGAAAATATCAAACAATTTAATTGTATAAATTGTCTTGTTCTGAATTTCAATTTGTTAACAACAATTTGTTTCTTAATAAATATTCTATAAAATTGAATATCGTTGTGCGTTCCGCTTAAAAGGCAGATATATACGGGGAAATCTTTCCGATAATAAGAAGAGGAAAAACTATATATTTCCCAATAGGTTATGGGCCCAGGGCGTTGTGGTCTATTTTAAGCGGAATTGGTTTTTGTGGTTAACGCAAGAACATAGAAAAGAATTGTCATGGCGACGTCTCCAATGTTCCAGATTGAGAAGCTAGATGAACATAACTATGAGACATGGTCGGTGCAAATGCGCAGTGTGCTAATTCACACAGGATGCTGGAAACATGTAAATGGTGATGCGAAGAAAATCCCGAATTTGACTGCAGAACAACAACAAGCATGGGATGATGTTGATGAAAAGGCTCTTGCTTCTTTGACTCTTTGTGTGAAGCCTTCGCAGCTGAACTATATCAAGAATTGCAGTACGTCAAATGATGCCTGGGAAAAGCTAAAGGATGTGTATAAACCTAGTGGTCCTATGCAAAAAGTGTCATTGTATAAGAAGCTATTAAATCTCAGCATGAAGGACAGCTCAAATATGTCTGAATATTTGAACAAATTCTCTAGTATTTCAGATCAATTGGCAGAAGCTGGTATACAAATCCAGGAGGAACTTTTGGTAATAATCCTATTGTCGAGTTTGGAAAAGGATTTTGACAATTTTGTAATTGCCATGGAAACAAGGGACAGTCTTCCTACGCTTATGGTTCTAAAACAGAAATTGCTGGAAGAATGGGATCGGCGAGAACAAAGTACAAATGGAAGCGTATCTACAAATCAGCAAGCATTCGGAGCTGTTGGTGTCAAAGCAAAAAGAAATGGCGGTAAGAAAGGTGATCGAAGAAATGAAAAGGGTGCATGTTTTGTTTGTGGTAAAAAAGGTCACTACGCTAACAAATGCAAGTTCAAAGATGGTGAACATAAATCATTCACAGTAATTGCTGTTGCAGCCGGAACGCAAACAGAGAATGATTTAATGCAATGGTGTGTCGACAGTGGAGCGACAAGCCATATGTGCTCCATGAAAAATTATTTTACAAGTCTTGAAGATTCAGAAGAGACCATTATGTTAGCAGACAAGAAAGTCATCCAAGCCAAAGGAAAAGGATTCGTCGAATTGCGAGTAAACGGATGCAAGATTAAACTGAAGAATGTAATCTATTGTCCTGAATTGAATGGAAACTTTATTTCCGTAAACAAGATGGTTGAAAATGGATGTTCGGTGAATTTTTTCAAAAATGGTGCTGTGATTACGGATGAAGGCCGTACACTTTTTAGAGCTGCCAGGAAAAATGATTTGTTCGTCTTCGATGCTCAACCTGTAAGTAACCAAATTTTTTCTATTAATACTTCCGATAGTCTATGGCATAGAAGATTTGGCCACCTAAATTATCAAAGCCTGAAAGAGTTATCTTCTAAGAATTTGGTCAATGGCATGACATTCAATTCACACAGTGGCGAGAAATGTGATGTGTGCATGATTGGGAAAATCCACGCTGCATCTTTTCCCAAACAATCGGAGAGAAAATCAAAGGAACTGCTTGAAGTAATTCATTCCGACGTATGTGGTCCAATGAAAGTTGATTCTGTAGGTGGATCAAAGTACTTCGTGACATTTATTGATGATAAATCCCGCAGAATATTCACATATTTTATGAAGAAAAAGTCAGAAGTTTTCGAAAAGTTTAAGACATTCAAAACCATGGTGGAGTTGCAAACTGGTTGCAAAATTAAAGCATTAAGAAGCGATAATGGTGGAGAATATCTTTCCAACGAATTTAACAAGTACCTTGAAACTAATGGAATTAAACGACAATTAACTGTTCCCTACACCCCACAACAAAATGGTGTAGCAGAGAGAGCAAATCGTACATTAGTTGAAATGGGACGTTGTCTTCTTATTGAATCAGGGCTTGATCAAAGATTGTGGGCCGAAGCGGTTGCTACTGCAACATATCTAAGAAATAGAAGTCCGTCAAAAAGTTTGGAAAATACTACTCCAATGGAGGTATGGTCTGGGCGGAAACCAAGTGTTAATCATTTGAGAGTTTTTGGTTCTAAAGCTGTTGCGCTGAACAAAAACGCAAGAGGAAAATTTCAAGAAAAAGGCGAGAAAATGGTCATGGTTGGATACTCATTAGTGTCTAAAGCCTATAGGCTCTACGATCCTAAATCTGAAAAAGTTATGGAAAGACGGGACGTCATTTTTGATGAAGATAAGGCATTAGAAAAATCACAAGAGCAAACACCAGAATTGTATTTTTATGTGCCACCTGAAAATTTTGAATCTCTGGAATCTACCGAAGTGGAAGAAACACAGGAAATGAATATAGAACTCAATGATGAACATTCAAGTTCGGATGACAATTTTCAAGATACAGAAGATTTTTTCGGATTTACTTCTTTAGATGAGCAAGAAAATCCTGAACCTGCAACTGTTCAAAGAGGAAGAGGTAGACCAAAGATTATTAGAACTGGTAAACCTGGTCGACCCCGAAAAGAACATAACTTACTGAATAATGTGGTGGAGGATGGTATTCCTAAAACGTATAAAGAAGCAATATCCAGTAAATTATCTGCTAAATGGAAACAAGCCATGGAAAATGAAATGTTATCACACCATCAAAATAATACGTGGACAATGCAAGATCTTCCGCATGGATGTAAGGCAATCAATTGCAAATGGGTTTTTGCAATCAAGAAAAATAGTAAAGGACAGGTGGAGCGGCATAAGGCACGGCTAGTCGCTAAAGGTTGTAGTCAGAAATTCGGCATAGACTACAATGAAACATTTTCGCCAGTGGTAAGATATTCCACTATTCGAATGTTACTTGCATTAGCGGTAGAACACAAAATGCATTTACATCAACTAGATGTAGTCACGGCGTATTTAAACGGAGAATTGCACGAAGAAATCTATATGCGTCAGCCAGAAGGATTTATCGATGAAAAAAACAAAAATAAAGTTCTGCGCTTAAACAAATCCCTTTATGGCCTTAAACAAGCGGGTCGGGAATGGAACTTAACGCTAAATAACTTTCTGTGCAAGATAGGATTTCTCAGATGTGACAACGAACCTTGTATGTATAAATCAAATCGAAACGGTCATTTGATGTTAATAGCTGTCTATGTGGATGATTTAATAGTTGGATGTGAAAATGAAAACGAAATTTTGAAACTTAAGGAAGAAATTGCAACCAATTTCGAAGTGACTGATAAAGGACTGTTAGAGCACTTCCTGGGAATGGAGTTTCATCGAGATGGAAAAACCGGTGAAATTAAAATATCTCAAACTAATTTCATAAACGAAATGTTAAAGGAGTACGGTATGGAGAATTGTAGACCAGTTTCAGTGCCACTGACTCCTGGTTTTCAGAGTAATTGTGAAGGTGAATGCAGGAAAATAGATCCCACCGAATACCAATCTTTGATCGGTTCCCTGCTTTACTTGGCTCTGACAACTCGCCCTGATATACTCCATTCAGTTACCAAGCTTTCGCAAAGAAATGCGGATCCACACTTAGAACATTGGACAGCAGCAAAACACATTCTAAGATATTTAAAAGGTACTAAAGATATGAAACTTCACTTTAGTTGTGGAAATGGCAAACTCATTGGTTACGCAGATGCTGATTGGGGAGGATGTACTACAGATAGAAAGTCATATTCTGGATCAGTATTTTTTATTGGAAATTGTGTGATTTCTTGGGAATCCAAGAAACAAGATACTGTCGCTTTGAGCAGTACCGAAGCAGAGTATGTGTCAACTTCTAACGCATCGAAGGAAGCTGTATATTTAGGTCGATTACTTCACGAACTGGGATTTCTGCAAGAAAACTGCGTTCCTATCAATGTCGACAATCAAGGTGCTTTGCAATTGGCATATAACCCGGTTCATCATAAACGGACAAAACATGTGGACATCAAATACCATCACATAAGAGATTTAATAAAATCAAATACAATAAAATTGGTTTATTGTCCAACGAATGATATGGTTGCCGACATATTTACAAAAAACCTAGCAAAGTCGAAACATCAAAAATTTGTCAGTCTAATCAATTTGAAGTAAATCAAAACGTGAAGAATATGCATGTTGTGGTGGAGTGTTGGAAAAACACTTTGTTTGAAAATACTTTGTTTTAATTTATTTCAACAAACATATTCTTCTTTGAAAAGCTTTGTGATTTTCTAGTTTGAAAATATCAAACAATTTAATTGTATAATTGTCTTGTTCTGAATTTCAATTTGTTAACAACAATTTGTTTCTTAATAAATATTCTATAAAATTGAATATCGTTGTGCGTTCCGCTTAAAAGGCAGATATATACGGGGAAATCTTTCCGATAATAAGAAGAGGAAAAACTATATATTTCCCAATACTTTGTTGGAACCTCAAAAAAAAATATTTTTTAAAAATCCACGCCTTTGTTGGAACCTCAAAAAAATATTTTTTAAAAATCCACGCCTTTGTTGGAACCTCAAAAAAATATTTTTTAAAAATCCACGCCTTTGTTGGAACCTCAAAAAAATATTTTTTAAAAATCCACGCCTTTGTTGGAACCTCAAAAAAATATTTTTTAAAAATCCACGCCTTTGTTGGAACCTCAAAAAAATATTTTTTAAAAATCCACGCCTTTGTTGGAACCTCAAAAAAATATTTTTTAAAAATCCACGCCTTTGTTGGAACCTCAAAAAAATATTTTTTAAAAATCCACGCCTTTGTTGGAACCTCAAAAAAATATTTTTTAAAAATCCACGCCTTTGTTGGAACCTCAAAAAAATATTTTTTAAAAATCCACGCCTTTGTTGGAACCTCAAAAAAATATTTTTTAAAAATCCACGCCTTTGTTGGAACCTCAAAAAAATATTTTTTAAAAATCCACGCCTTTGTTGGAACCTCAAAAAAATATTTTTTAAAAATCCACGCCTTTGTTGGAACCTCAAAAAAATATTTTTTAAAAATCCACGCCTTTGTTGGAACCTCAAAAAAATATTTTTTAAAAATCCACGCCTTTGTTGGAACCTCAAAAAAATATTTTTTAAAAATCCACGCCTTTGTTGGAACCTCAAAAAAATATTTTTTAAAAATCCACGCCTTTGTTGGAACCTCAAAAAAATATTTTTTAAAAATCCACGCCTTTGTTGGACCCACGGAAAAAAT